AGTCATGTGACTCGCTGACGCAACAGTATGATTATAATCACGCTTCACCAACTTGTAAAAGATGTTCACACCATAACAACTGATGTTGTAACAAATGGCTTATATGAATCGCGTTCCGACCATAACAACTATGTTTGTTGTATCCCAACTGGCCTGAAGAGCTATGGATTGAGCAAAACGTACCGTTTGGCAATAGATATAGTAAATATAGTGTGGTTGGAATACTATTATTATACAGTCTTCTGTTTGTATTTGAAACTAAATACAAGCCCTTGTGGTTACGATACTCAAGTGGGAGACCAAATTTCGGTTAAAATATTTGTCCCATTTTTAAAATGTCTATCCAAATGTAAATCCTTATTAATGAATATATTGATTTTTCTTTAAACAAAAGTGGAGTAGTTTTAAACATTTTTTCTAAATAAATGGATTAGTATTCATGAACAATGTTATCACCAAAATTCTTAATGTAGCAATAAAATACGTCTTTTTCTGTTCCAGTTATCAAACATGAAACAAACAATTTTTCTTTAACTGTAGACACCTAAGCTTTAATATTTCCAACGCGCATTAAAGCTAGATTGTTACCAATCAAGTTTATTATGTTTACTACAAGCCATCTCAATGCCATTAACTATCATCCTACTATCTTGTTAAACATGTCCTCCTGTGTGTGCTCGAGGCTGTGAATCTGTGAAGGACATGACCGGTCCCCACAAGGTCAGTGATACAGAACTGCCATACAAGGCAGATTTTTAAAAGAATTCGTATTAGGGAGAAGAAACTTTCCTGAGGGCAAGTTCTCTCTCTTAGGCTACGCCTTACGCATGACGTGTTCTGTTTGTTTTTTAATTAAACCGAGGTTCAACATTTTGTTCCTTTACGAAAGTGTAAACACAGTTGTAATTTAAAAATGACTGAAAATACTGAAATTTAAATGGATAATGTACGATGTGATTTACAGTGTATTAAAAAACTCAACCAAATAACAACCCAATATTCAAACATTTTACAAAGAATGCCATCTTATTTTTATCTCGTCATTGAACGTCACTGTATTCAATATTTTAATATAAATATTCTGTTTTCACCATTTATCAAATCACTACTGAACAAACAAACCCAAGCGTTTACTAATCAAGGGACATATTAGCGAAATTAACATTTAGAAATATTCAACAAAGTTTTAAGATTTCAGCGAAGAACAAACATTGTTATATCGTATGGTGCAGGTGACGTCTATCCTTTTGTTACAATGTTAGCTATGAGTAATGATATAGTTATGTTTTTACTAGTTCACAGTTAGGCCTACATTCTAAACGTACAAAAAGTCCTTAATAAACCGAGCAATACAAGATACATGTGTATATGTAAAAGAAATATGTCTTAAACTGAATTAAACCATTTAAGAGGTTTAATACCTAGAACTGAAATGGGTATAACGTTGTAAATATGCCACATATTCTATATACACATTTTAAAATTATATATTAAGAACTCGGTGATTGATTTCACACGATTATTGAAATATGAAGAACAACTCTGTTACCAAGGGTTGACATAATTCACTAATTCTAGCATCCCTTCACATCAAAGACGTAAGAAAAGAAAAGCCATAAAATAATTGTAGACACAAATGTACCATTCCTATAATTGCAAGTCATAATAAACTTAAAAAGTAGGTTATTTTGAAAATACTGTTATAATGCGTTCTAATCGTTAGGCGGGTTCTATTGAATTATTTGTTAAAAATAATGCCAAGTTCAGTCCACGTGAAGATAATGAGTTAGTTATTTATAAATATATCTCTAACCTATATAAAAGCCTGTGCGTGTGTCACGCCACGCTTGAGTTCTAGAATTAGGAGGAGTCATAAAAGCCAAAATGCATTTATCCAGATAGAATAGTTCGATTACTGTCTGTCCATTACGATTTTAGTGACGGGGGTGAAAGGGGGCTTTGACGTGA